AGGAATCTCTAAATAAGCTCTGTTCAAATTAAAAAAAGAACACACCAAATGACAAATGATTGTTCAACGTTATCCAAGCACCTATCATGCACTCTAGTACACCCTTGATGTTAGAAATATTAACTTCAAGCAATCAACAACCCCTAAAAAGGATCGCCTACACTTCAGGCAACACAAATAGACAAATAGAAAAGAAAATGATAAATAGAACTTGTTAACCCAAACATGCATTACACATAGCACACAATATAGATCCTTATTCAAACTCCTCAGGATAACTACATGTGTCATGTTGCATACCAAAAAAACTACCAGGATGTATAAAACAGTGAAAAGTATGATAAAATCTTCATCCTCATAGTATACAACAAACATTCAATAGGTTAAATCCTTCAGTTTGCAGGAAATCCATTACTAAATAAGTAAGTTAAATAGAGGAAACATGAGTATTGTTTTCCCTTGGCTCAAACTTCAAAGACCCGTTATGCAAGGATAAATCTTTAAATTTTTATATTTTTTTTTTCTCAATATACGTTGACATTTATTAGGATAAAAAAAATCTACATATATGCCATATCGCAAGTCCACCCAAAATCAATGAACTTAAGACGTCCTCTGCAAATGTGGAACTCTAATTTTCTATCAAAGGTCCTTAGGCATATGCAAAGGAGAACTAACAACTGACACTCACGTAATCTCTGATAGCCGACACGTTTGGGGAGTGAGCTCTTCGGAAGATCCATCTATCATCAATGATGGCTTACCAATACGAACATCTTTGTATCTGCATCCAATTAGGCAATTGCATTGAAACTGAAAGGCATAAATTTGAAAACACAGAAAAAATTCTAGTGCATGGGCAAATGTAACCATGAACTTTTTCCAAGATGAAAAGAAACTTAAAATACAAATGAAAAATTTTCACCTCAAATAAATACTTGGGTCAATGCTAGAGGTGATGAGATCATTGGCTTGAAGAATCTTTTTTATCTCTGTCGTCACGAAATAATTGAAGGAGTCTAAGTGTTGTTTCACAAGACCTCTTACCTACATTTGTAGATTAGCCAGCAGTTTAAACTTCCAGTAAACTCAAGGAACCCCTTCTTCTAAAGGGAAAAAAGGGGGAACAGAAAAGATGAGATCACAAGGACAAGTTATACATGATTGTGACCCCACAATGAATGACCTTACAATAATCTACTCTATATTAATGCTCAACTTGTAAAAAACTCGGCACACATGATATAACCGACACCTTATGAAGGCTACAAAAGGGAATCTGAAAATGATCTCCAACTCAAGTGTTAATATATTAAACTGAAGCCACAAAATGCCACCAAACTAAATACGTCCTCAACGATTTCATTAACAATTTCCCAACTTCCATAGAACTATGATATACAGTTAATCAAAGAAAGCCTCTCCATTTTCCACCTTTAGCTCAATAGCTCATTGTAGCACTCAAGTATATAACTTCAAAAGAAAAGGTTGAAAAGAAGTACCTTCAAGAATTCAGGGACTAATTGGAACTTGTCGACGGCATTCTTCACAGGTGCAGAAAGGGTTTCCATATCGATTTCCAAACTATTAATCCAAAGAAATAATAAATAAAATTCATCAGATAATCAACAGCCCCGTCATGATAAGAATACGCATTGATATAGAGTAGCAAGGTTTATAAATGACAAAGGATTTTTGTTTGAACTAAGCGTACCCCTTCCCCTGTAAATTATCGAACAAAGCAGGCTCGTCTTCTTTCACTACCATTCTCAACTCGATATGTATTCAGAGAGAGGCGCTGTAGGACCAAGGGTTTGAAGCCAAACTCTCTTCCTGAAACGTTTGATTTGCAGGCTCATGCAACAACCATCAGATTTTTAAATATACCGAATAGAATATATGCTATATGGAATCAAAGTTGGCCAAGTAATAAGCCTCGTTAACGGACAGAGTAAGGGTGCGATTTGCAACATATTAAAATGGATTTTGACTTACTGAATAATTTTTCATACCAAATATGATATATGCAATCCAAATTGGCCTAAGTAGTTTTATTTTGTCCTATGTTTTTTTTTTTTTATTACCGTTTTTGTATTAAATCTATATATATCTAAAAAGGTTAATGTAAAAATCTTTTTTTAGAAACCTAAAAATAATTGAGTTGACTTTTGACTTTCTATTTATGTATTCTACTTTAAAATCGGAAGAAAAATCGTGAAAAGCAGTGGATATTTCGTTAATTTAGCATGAAATTTGCATTAATTAAGCAAATGGATATTCTTAGTAATGGTGATATTTCCGTTAATTAAGTATGTGAAATTGATTGTCCGTTGCAAAAATCAAGCTATCCAAATACAATCCATAACTATCTTATCACTTTTGGTTAATAAAAAATATGTGAAATTGATTGTGCGTTGTAAAAATCATGGGGACTTACTATCTATCCAAATACAATCCATAATTATCTTATCACTTTTGGTTAATAAAAAATTGTATAAAAAAAGATATTCACTACCACCATTACAACTCATCATTCACGAGTTCAGAGAAAAAAAATACAGAGAATAATTTTTGATCGCATATACAATATAATGCTAAACCCATCACGTTTTTGATCGCATATACAATATAATGCTAAACCCATCACGAACGGGAGAGCTGTAACGCATTTCATATACTGTTTCATGATGAACAGGTAATATTTACCTTGTTATTTCAATTTTATATAATTTAGAAAATTATTTTAATTAATATTTATAAATTTGTATCGTAGGGTGCTTTCATTAAATGCATAATACGTTATCTGAATATGAGAGCAACAAACTTTATATAAACTGAGAGCAGTCTAATTTTTGTAAAATATGTAAACGTGTTTTTATATATAAAATTGTATATACTTTTAAACATGTTAGTTGGACAAACTTTAAGGATATATATATATATATATATATAGGGTCACGCTCCGGTGAGAATGATGCTTAATGCGAGAAATAAGAATACATCTTATCTATCGGATTGAGTGATCCAGCGGATAAAAAAACCCAGCATCTATACATTTATTCAGGGCAACAAAGTAATTTCTCAACACATTAAAACCAACTCCATTCAAATAACCCACACGTGACTGGGTCCCACTCCACTAACAAATCCCTCTCAACCTGTTAATCGTCTCTATCTGTCTCACCTCAACTTTCTCTTTCTCTCTTTTTTTCTCTCTCACACAGACAACACACACTTAGCACACACATTCATCCCACACGCAGCACACACAAACACACAGACTCAGCACACACAAAACTCACACACAAAGCACGCACAAAACACGCAGACTCAGCATACAAACGCGCCTGTACCCGCCGGAAAAATCCACGCCAGCCCAGCCCCCGGAGCCGCTGATCGAGGCTGTCCACTGCCGGCTTCCGGAGCTCCAGCACTGCCGGTCCGTTAGATTCCCGTCGTAGAGGCCGGCACCGACATCCGCAACCAATGTCCGCCGCTCCAGGCCCGCCGTAGCCACCGCCTCGTCTTCTTTCATCTCCCGACATCCGCCGTGCTCCACCACGTCCCGCCACTGATCAACCCTCTCTGCCGACGAGAGGTGGTGGAAGAGAAGCCCGCGACCAATATGCTCTGATTGTTCGAGGGAAGTCCACGGTCAAGCTGCTCCCCCGTTCGATGATGTCCGGCGACATAAGAGGAATAAAATCTGGCGGTCGGAAGTTTCAAAAAAATGGCTGGGAAGGGGGGATTTTTTTTTGTAAATTTGATATCTTGAAGGGACCTAATTGTGAAGTATGAAGTTTTAACTATAATACAATTAAGTCCATGGGCTAAATTTATAATTTATAGAAAATATATAAAAATATTATTTTATATATATAAAAACATATTTTTATACATACATATATTATATGTGTTTCATCTCAAAAGTAATATAAAAAATTGATCAAAAATATTAAAATATTGAATTATTTTTAGGGTTTCTTTTTTTTTTTAAAAAAAAAAAGTTAGATAGTGCTCAAGGACAATCTTGTAATTTTATTAATTTTGATTATTTTTCTAATTAAGTTCATGACCAAATATTTAATTTATAGCAATATTCTCATAAATGCATATTAATGATAAATAAGGTGTGCAATGATTAAAATTTTTTAAATCTCAAATTTTAATATATAAAAAAAATTTAAATAATAAAAATACTCTTATAGTAATAAATAATAACTAATTTAACGTATTAAGGTTCATTCGACGTACAATTATATCAACTAAAACTAGTTTCAAAAGGCACATAATTTATACGTGATCATATAAAGTAGTGCACTTTATATACGAGCACGCTGCACATTATAAAACAAGGCGTTGCACTTTATAAAACAATCCGTTGCACATTATCAGCACAATACACAATTATTATTAGTAGTTATCATAAGAAATATTATGCAATATAAATTTAGAAAAATGGATCTACATAATATTTTAATATTCATGACATCGTCTATACACTAAAAAACACAAGAATGATAACGTACCAAAATTTCACTTTTGCATTTTATATATCAATACGTTGCACTTTATACAATGATACGGTGCACTTTATAATACAACATGTCGCACCTTATAAAATAGCACGCTATGCGTACAAAAAAATACGATAACCTGACTCTTGGGCTCTAACTTAGTATAACATGCCGACGTCAATGTCAATTACATCTTTAGAAGTGAAGGAAAGGTGTAATTGAGCATAGATAGTGGTCTAATGCCAAGGCCGATGACGGAAGCTCGGGACGGAGCCGTATGAGGCGGAAGTCTCACGTACGGTTCTCTGAGAAGGGAGTGGCTACTTACTGGAGCTTCGGGTGCGGGGCCTCCCGTGTGAGGTCAGGTGATGGTCAACAACTAAGGCAGGAAATGTTGAGAAGCGGCTAACGATGCAAGAGCTCTTTTCCCTTGAATAATATTAGTTGGTTAAATGTTGGATTTAGTCTTTTTAAATAAATTAAATAACTGAACATACCGAACTATATGAAAAAACACAAACAGGCTGACGTGCCAAAAATAACACGCTATATCAATACGTTGCACTTTATACAACGACTATACAAACATGCTAACGTACCAAAATTTCACATTTGCATTTTATAAATCAATACGTTGCACTTTATGCAATGATACGATGCACTTTAAAACACAACATGTCGCACCTTATAAAATAACACGCTACGTGTACAAAAACATACAATAATTCTACTAATCGGTCTAATAATATTAGTTGATTAAATGTCGAATTTAATATTTTTAAATAAATTAAATAACTGAACATACCGAACTATATGAAAAATATTACCAATTCTTTTTTATGTATATATTTGTTTATGAATTATAATACTATTTTTTATCTATATTTTTTGTATGAGATGCGAGTGCACATTATGGTTATACGAGTTGCACATAAATGTCTATCAGATTGCACAAAATCGAATGAGATCCAACGAGCATGAATTCGGTACGAAATTTTATATTTTGTTTCGATTATTATTATTATTATTATTTAATAATAATAAATAATAAATTATTGTGCATTTTGTGCGCGTTTGACATTTATTTTTTTATTTTTATTTATAATATAAATAATAAATTATTGTGCATTTTACTAATAATATATTGTGCAAATATTCATCATGTTTACCAATTACAAGTGTAAGAACATATCAAATTTCCAAAATTACAAATAGATCCTCTACATTTGTCTAATTTCCAACAATAGAACCCAACTCAAAAAATTGAAATCTGAATCCTAACTCAAAAAATCCAAATCTGATAATTGTACGCCTGCACATCCCCGTTTCTTCCGGACGGCGCCGGCGCCGCCGCCGCCGCCTTCTTCTCTCCCGCCGGTCTCCGCCGCCGACATGGAGGCCCTCGCCGTGAAGGACGCTTGTCAAACGGAGTTCTCTTCTTTCAGAATTTCTGTCGGCGACGGGAATGGATGTGCTGTGGCGGTGATTGGCGGCTGACGAGTGCCGGCGCGGCGGGCGAGTGGTGGTTCTCTCCGCCGGCGAACTGCAACCTCCGAGGAGTGGTTCTCGCCGCCGATGGTGGCCTGTTGCGGCGTCGAGGCGAAGCTGTGGTGGACGGACGGCTGAGGTGAAACGGCGGACTGTTGGCGGAAGGCGGAGGCGGGTGGTGACCTGTCAACGGCGGGGTGTTGCTGTGGCCGTCGAGCTCGCGCCGTGAGCTTTGGACGGGCTGAAGGCATCGGCTGCCGGAGGCGGCAGCAGGTCCGTCGAGGGCGACGACAGGCCGGCGGGGCTTGCTGTGGTGGTGGGTCGTGTCAGCCGCCGGGATGTAAGCAGCCGGCAGGTGGTGGCTGCGTTTGTGGTGTGTAATTGTGTGTGTGTGTGTGAGAGAGAGAGAGGGAGAGAGGGAGAAGAGAATGAGGGAGAGAGGAAACGTGACTTTAATTATAGGAGTGGGGCCCACTGTTTTTTTGGTATGATAAAGTTACACAAATGTCCTCTGATGTATTTATTTGGTCATGGATTACTCATGTATTTACAATTTTGCCCTGTATATTTGACCTGTTATTTAATTTTGACTTCATCATGTCCATTGATATTGTTGATCCCATGGTTCAGAATCATTCTTATTTCTCGCATTAAGAGTCATTCTCATATGATCCCTTACCTATATATATATATATATATATATATGTGTGTGTGTGTATGCTAACTTTAAGTATATATATTTTTCTTATAAGATAGTCTAGACAGAATTGAGGTAATTTCACATTTTTCCATAATAATATAAAATATTTTAATACTTTCACATATGTTATATAATAGTCTACGTATTCTTAATGTCTTTTGGTTGTAACATTGTTAACACATATAATATTAGATAGTTTTAAACATATTTAGATAATTTTTTTACTCATTCTTTAATATCTATGTGCATAAAAAGAGAATAAGATTTATAAAAGATTTTCCGGCAATATACTAAATGGTAGATAAAAAATCTCATTTTATTTGTTATATAATACTTCGAGTTGCATTAATTTTGATTTGTATGTGTAAACTTGATAAATTAAGCGTATGAAAAGGAGCGTACGAATTACTGTAAGGATTTAAAAAATAAAAAATAAATTTAATTTTTTAATATTTTCTACTAACTTCTAAACGAATTTATGTCATAATTCGTCATAATTTTCCCACATCATGTCAATATTAATTTTATATATACTAGGTAAAAGGTAAATCATTATCTCAATATTTATTCTATATATTCTAAGTAAATTTTTTCATCTATCTCAACGGTCCGCAGGTAGTATTTCATACTTTTCTATTCATAATCAAATATATCAAAGTTTCACAAATTTTACTTCACAAAGAAAGTGTTCAATAATTTATATTTTTTTTCCTTCTTTGCAATCCATTTATTTTTGTTACATATATATAAATTATATTATTTTTAATATTTCACACATTAAATATTTCAGGAAAATATATCATCTCGTGCATCGCACGGACTACGCGCTAGTGTGTTTTAATGTATTAATGGACTTGTGTTAACGTTAACCACATAGGCAGCCTATTCTATTGACTAGGGAAATTGACTCGTTATACTACGTGAAAAAAAGATACATATTTATTTTATTAATTGTCATATTTTTTATTGTCATATTCCCCAACCCAACCCAACCCAACCTAATAATTAAAATTATTTCTCTCTCCTCTACCTTACAATCAAATTTCTTATGGAGATAAATTTGATTGTAAGATTGTTAACGTCAACCTTACAATCAAATTTATCTTTATCCCCAACCCAACTCAACCTAAACTAGTACAGAGCCCGTGCGATGCACGGGGTGCACAATTTTAAGGTTATTTATCCAGGCTTATAATTATATACATGAATAAAGAAAAAATGTACGGGATATATATAGTACGTGACCCGTGCGAAGCACGAGATATATTTATTTGGAGAATATTATATTATAAGATGCAATATTCAATAAAAGTTTATAATACGCAAAAAAATTGTACAATGTTCAAATACCCGTGCGAAGCACGAGATATATTTATTTGTTTTATGATTTCATAATATAAACAAATCTATACTTAACTTTGACAAATAAAACAAATAAATACTTTAGTAAGTATTTAATGTATATACTTAATAGGAATATATTTGGTATAATCAAATACCAAATATAATCAAATAAGTCAAAGTGTACATTTTTATTTGGTATTTGATTTTTTTATTATTAAAATATTTTTATTATACTTACCTTTTTAAAATAAAACAAGTAAATAAATTACTTAAATAAATAAAATATTATAATACCAAAATAATAATGGCATTTAATGCAGTTGACTTTTCTGGATAGTAAATGTAGTAAATAGAATCTCCTTTTATATAAGTATAGATTGTATAATACGGAAATAGTAATGCAATAAATGTTGTTGACTTTTCTTTATACTAAATCTGGTAAATGGTATACCTTTTAATATAAGTATAGATATTTATTTTATTTTAATTTATATAAAAAATACAATTGTGTTCCAAAATATATCAAATGTGGTCTCTATTTATAGAGAATAAAAAAATATAAATTTTAGTATTTATTTTTTATTTTTTTAAAACAAAAAAAAATATATTTGACCAATAAAAAAAGAACAAGTGTCCACTTTTAAAAAGCAACCGGTTGCAACCTTGGGTCACATTGTGACCTCGGTTGCACAACCTATTGCTTTTCTTTTTTATTATATTTTTTTTTTTTGAGTTTTTNTTTTTTTTTTTAATTGAGGCATTATGCTCCAACGTTTCTGAAAATCTCAAAATTTCAAAATCAATTTATGATTAATGAATGTACAAATCAAACTTCGGCGTCGGTGACCGCCAGATAGGAGTCACCAGCTAATGTGTAAATACCTCAATTTGATCCAATGTTGCTTGAACCGTCCCTTGAACCGCTTTAGTTATCTGCAAAGCAGTGTAAGGGATGTCGCGGCATAGAACCGCTGACTCTCAAATCAAATTATCTCACCAAATAATGATGTATGGTGTACGTAATAAATGATAGATCTTAAGGTTTCATACCTGTCCCTCAGCTATTAATACCACTTACCTTGTTGACCTGGCATTCGGGTTAAGGATTCGCGAGAATCCTTTATTTACACGATTCATATATGTATACTCAAATAATTGCTTAGATCCTCCAAGATACGAGAGGATATTTTCCCCACACGTTTTGGCCTCCCATACTTGGTAATATTTTAGACTGAAGCCCCTAAGGTTGTTACTCAGCTACCTTAGGCCCAGGTCGAGCGTCCAACAGACTAACCTAGAGTCCTAGCTCGATTTGATTTTACCCTTCTTTAGCTCGAGCCCTCCTTGCTCGACCAGATCTTTGTTCAACAACCTGAGCTAATCCCATCCAAGTTGTGCTCTATTGACACGAGATGGAACAACCAAGTTATGAGTCATGCCCTATCTAACTACGTTTTGATTTTCAGAAATTTAAATCTCCCGCCCAAACTAATCAAAACATCCGACAAACTCAAAAACCTACCACCCAACGCCTCAAAATCCACGCTGCATGAAATCCCACGCCCACTAATGCATCATCCAATTGCAGTCATCCATCAACGACCTCATCGGAAAATCTAGATTAAGTGACCTATCATCTTCGTGTCAATGCTTATATGTACCTTATTTTCTCCATTTCTTCTTTACATGTTGCCATTTTTTACTCGTGTTGTACATCTATGTGAAGTTGCATCCAAATGAATCATCGTCGACGTTCAGCCGCCATTTACCAGGTCGATGAGTAAGTTTTATGACCTTGACTGAAATTTTTTTGTCTTTAATACATCAACATTCTTAATTATTTTCCATGTTTCATTCCATGTAAGTGTTCTCGTCGTCTTCCTCTGACATTATTATGTGCTTTTTTAGATCGCTATACGAAAAATTACTCCTTAGAAGCTCTAATAAACCAACACATCACCTCAGCTTCTTCCTCCCACTCACTCGAGGTCCTAGAACACACTCAAACAACAACTACCACTACACATCCTAGACACCTCGTCGATGGGTCTGAGGGAAATTTGACTGGGATGAGATAGTTGTCATTTTCTCAGTCCTATTTCATCACCCGAGCTCGTTCAAGGAGTTCCTTTACCTTCTAAACCATCACGGCCTCTAACCTAACCATCTACGATAGCCATAATGCCTTCCTTAACTTATTCCACTCCAAACCTTGTTTCATTAGCTTGTGACACAACCAATCCCATAGTCAGAATAGCCGATCCCTTCTTATGCACTGACCTCGTTTACCTCGAGTACTTCAAAATACAATGTGAGTTTGCTTACTTCTTAGAAGATCCATACCCTAGGCCCTATGATTCGTACACCTTACCCCTGAGATCTATTACACCTTTTTCATGATCAGGTTGATATCAAGCTTCAATTTCCCGTTTGTGAAGGTCTTCTTTCATTTGGGAGTATGTCCCACTAAACTAATTTTTGCCCAACTTGATTAGGATAATGGTAGTTTTCGTCATGGTAAGCCACTGTAGGTAGGGTAGATTTGAACTAGAAAATTTTAAGTATTGTTATAGCGTTAATTTTCAAAAAAGAGTCCATACATAACAATTTGGAACCCCGCTAACTTCATTAAGGACCTTCCTTTCAGCCTGAAAACTCAATTTATGTTTAACCTTGTGACCCATTTGCTTTTCCATCCCAATGGTTAAATGAAATACCATACCGACCTCCAAAACCCAAGTCCAACGTTGTATGGGAAGTGCTCATCGTATCGTCAGCTTGGGACGAGGGTCGAGTCCATGATCGCCAATCCTTCTTCACTTTCTGGTTGGGAGGCCAATTCATTGTGGCCTACCGGGAAGAGCTGGTGATCGACTTCTCCAACTCTTCCGGCTTTCTCCAGAAGATGGCCCTTGCTACCTTCAAGTACTTCACACTAGCCTTAGGTCGAGTTGAGGCCCAACTGGTTGCAGATGTGACATACATTATTGTTATGCGAGTGATTTTTGTGTTGATTTCGTCCTTATTTTATACAAAGTTAATTAATTGTTTAGTCGTGGTCTTATATAGAGTTAATTAATTATTTAAGTAATTCTATTAAGCTATGATGAGGTGTATTATTTTGGGTTTTGATAGAAAATCGGGTGGAAATAATTATTGGAGGTGAAAATGGTGTGAAGCCGACAAAGAATGAATAAAAGTCAGCCTAGGACATGCCTAATTACAGGTGATCGAACAATTGAAAGTAAATGAAAATAAAAAATTATCTCAGTTTTTCTTTTCCATTTTTACTTGGTTCAGCTCAGTTTTTCTTTTCCATTTTTTTCTTCTTGTCATCGAGTGATCGAACAATCAGGAAACAATTGAAAATAAAATTTCTAACTTATTCACCGCTTAACGAAGATTTTAAAGTACTGAAATTCCAACTCAAATATAAATAAGAGACTGAGTAATGAAGTCCTAGTGATCGAGCTTGGGATTGGATTCGCCCTATCCGATTCAGCTTTGTCCATAACATACATAACATGAAACATAAAATACTTGGATTTGTAGAACTCATTCGTTAATCCTTTTTCAAAAACTATAAAATCACATGGATTTGTTATTCTTATTGTCAGAGCTTTTTAATCTAACTCTGGATTTCATTAAACTTGCGACCACTTTTTCACGTGTTGGGTAGCCCTCTCTGCCTGCAATATTTACCCACATTATTAAAAATAAAATAAAACAATTTACGATAATTTGGTATTATATAAAGATAACTCTATCTGCAGTCAAATAACAATAGAAAAATAGTAGTTTAAATATCATAACAAGAAGAGATATAGATCATGTTGTAGTTACCTCTTTATCCCAATCACATCTCCAGGTGATGAAGACTAAAATTAGAGTTTGAAGCGCGGTTCCACCAAAAATCATTCCACCCCATACTCCCTAATCAAGTCAACAATATTATATTTTTATTATTTTTCCTCAAATCATCCAAGATAAAGTTCTATGATTAATGTCAACAAAATTTCAATACTAATCTCGTAATTCTTGGGTTAGATCAGACGTAGTCCCGCAATTTATAAAATTAACTAAATTATGGTATACTTTTGCTAAAAAGCTGAATTTTGGTAGAAATTGACATGTCATGTGCACGTTTCATAAAATTTATTACTAGTAGTTTTTATATTACATACTAGTATTGATTATTTACATTGTCATGAGACAATATTTAATACACCATTTTATTTTATTTTTTTTCCATAGCAAATTTATTATTTTTAAATTGAAGGTATTTCCCTAGTTATTTGTAATTAAATACTCCTGATATATTAATAAATAAAAATACTCCTGATATAAAGAGAATTTACCATAACACCCAAGTCAAAAACCCTCTGCATCACGATCCCAAGTGGAAGGCCAACCATATAATATGAGCCAATGTTAATATAGGCCACACGTGCTTGCCATCCCGACCCCACAGCCACACCTGTACAATGATAATTAATTTCCAGCAAACAAAACATAACAAAACCAAAGATTAATAATAATAATACTACTTTAAATAAATCTTTCACTAATTGTGTTAATAATTTAGATTTAGACCAAGTACACACAGGACACAGCAACTAATCAAGTTAGCAGCATACCAGAGAGAACTGGCTGAACACTGTTGAGGAGAATGGTCAAAGCCAATAGGACTGTCATCCCGTTGACCGAGTCAAGCACGGGTTTGCTTGAGGAGAAAAAGAGCGCAATTGTTTTGTGGAAAATCAAAACAATGGCCATCATAACCAAACCTATTGCTGTTGACGTCACCACTGATACTATGGTTGCGAATCTCGCCGCCTTTCCATTTCCGGCACCAAGCTCATTAGCCACCCTTACACTACACAAACACACATATTATATGCATCAACTTTCAATTGTTCATATCTTTTTTTTTTTAATTAAATAAATAAAAAGAAAGAAAAATAATAAAAAAATATAAAGATCTCACCCTGCTCCTACAAAGAATGAGAGTGGAATGCTCATCTCCCAACCATTTATAGCCATGCTGCATGCCAGTAAAAAAATAAAATGTTAAAATGAAAAAGTGCGGTTATTTATCATAATAGTTACTGTTATGATTAGTTTAGGGACTGTGATGCCATTGCTAACAACTCTGCTTTTGGTACGACATATAAATGTGAATTTGCTATTGCAATAACAGTATCGGTATATTATAAGCTGAAAAGAATCAAGTTATAAATAAATATATATATAGTGTTTAAACATATAAAATCGACTTACCAAACGGATAATGCGTCAACTGCAATAGCTGCAGCCTCCTTCATGTTTCCGGTCATCAATACCAATATTCTGTAGTACCAATTCTCCAGACTGTGGTATTAATCAAATCAAACCATATATAAATCATTTTATTAGTCACAATGTCCATTACATATTAATCAAGTAGTCAATACCTGCAGCTTTAAAGTGATACAAACGTAGTCACTATTTCCCAAATTTAATTAAAATATATATATATATATATATTTTGTTAGGCTAAATTGTAAAATATAGCCAGTATCTTGTACGCGGTGGCAATAATAGCCACCATCTTTACGAATTGGCAATATTAACCAACAACTTTCAAAATTTCGAGATTATTACCCAAATCCAACCAAATTCGACAAATAAATTGCAAAATATAGCCAGTATCTTTTTACGCAGTCACAACACTAGCCATCGAATTTGGTCGGACATGGGTAATAACCATAAAATTTTGAAAGTTGTCGGCTAATATTGCTAATTCGTAAAGATGGTGGCTAATATTGCCACCGCATACAAGATACTGGCTATATTTTGCAATTAAACCGTTAGGCTAAATTGTAAAATATTTTGTTATGGAGTATCTAACACCAAGTAGCATGGCATTTAAAAAAAAAAAATATTTTCATAAACATTACTATATTACAGAAAACATATTTTCCTCTTAACAGAAAAAAAAAAGGGAAAATACCAGAGCATGACCCCAGAGGAAGCGGATAATTTCAAAAAATCCCATAGACCCGAAAATGCCTCCACAGAGACTCCGTTCCAAGTCTCCGGGCATCCACCGCACGTGGTGTAGAAAAGCATCCCTAATATAAAAACCCACCACGATATATTAAGGGTAGCGGTGGCCCCCACAGCCCCCAAACCCCACACTCTAACAAACAACCAGTTGACTGCCACGTGTACCACAAGCCCCGCCAGCGCCGACCACAAGTACACCGCATTCTTCAGCTGACACTGAAGAAACCTCTGCAGTGGGAATATAAAAGCGAAGGCAAAGTGGAGTGGGATCAGCCAAAACGCCAGCTGTCCCGCCAGCTCAGCCACTTCCCTGGGCTGGCCCAGCAGCAGAAGAAGTGGGCCCGCAAACACGTAGAGCGGGAGAAGGATTATACAAACCCCAATTAGCACAATCCACGAGCGCTGCATGTATATCCCCAGCATGTGGTACTGGCCGGCGCCGTACGCCTGCCCACACAGTGTCTCTAGTGCACTAGCCATTCCCAACTGTACGGAGAAAGTTAATTAATTAATTAATTAATTAACAAAAAGTTTAATTAATTAATGAAAAGTTTAAGTACCAAGAGGCCGAAATCAAAACCGGTGATGACGCTGATGAGGATAGAAATGGCGGCGAATTCGGTGTCGCCAAGGTGTCCGGCAAAGGCTTGGGTGATGACATTGTACGAGTAGGAAGCGAGTCGACTCACTATTGCGGGACCCACTATACGCCAAAGCAGCTTTGACTCGGCCATGAACCTTCGCCCGAGACTCGCATCATGGATATTGCTCCACTCATTATCACCTCTCGACACTAGCAAAGGAGCGTTACTTTCTTCTCCCATGACTTTATATGTATTGGATACACACTTCTTTTGTTCCACACATGCACCCATTTCCCGTATATATATATACACGAGCTTTGTGGTACAGTGGTACTGCAANAAAAAAAAAAAAATCGGCCGGCCTAATTGATTTTGACTGTGTTTGGCGTTATTAGGTAACTCGTGAAATATGTCGATTGTGATTTAACCTTAAAATTATAATAAATTGAATGATGATATAAAGAAAGAAAATTGAGATCAATACTGGTATAGTGTATGTGTGATGGTCTGTGGACTAAATATGTCCGTTAGTAGTGCCATGCGCTACACGGGTTTCAAACTCAGTTCTCATTGTTAGAAAGTAGTGTACATATTGTTCACTTTAATTATTTCCAGATTTAATATTAAGTAACGACTTGTGTGGATATTAAAATTGGTCTAGCATGCATGCATGTATCAATTTCCAGATAACCTTTTCATTTTTTTTTTATTTTTTTTAATTCTTGTTCGCTCATCAGTATGACGACCTCCAAATTGATGATTGGCTTGATCAATTCATGTTTGGGATTTGGATAGCACGAGGACACAACATAAATCTCGCGTGTATATTTAATTTATGGCTCAAAATTCAACAATCGTTTTCGCAACCCGAATTTACACAAACCCTTGTAGCAAATTTAGCATGCAGAACATATAAACTAGACGTTGTGGGATGAATTTGGACGGTTAGGGGGCGGTGTTGATCTAGCGCCTAGCTCCTACAATTTGTTAACTTCAAATTTATTCTACCAATTTTTTGCAAATATGATTTATTTACCATTTTCTGCCCATTACCACCGTGATTAATGGCCATTACTTGTCTTTTAAGTAGTAGATGAACCTACCCATCATATGGCTATATATGTGAAATCTTCTAGGAGATTACAAGTTGCAGTGTCTATTGTGTTTTTGTGCTTATTTTTGTGTGTTTTATGTACTTTAGTTTAGTATTTTTAGGTTTATTTTAGTGTCGACCGGTCCATTTTATCGTGTTTCGTGTATTTTTGCTTTCGTATTATGTTTTTGTGGTTCGGCGTATTTTTCTTGTCTTTTTGGTGTTGTTTAGGTCCACACGATTCGAGTCTAGGGAGACTGAGCCATTTCCGAGACATTTCTGAGAAGTCCGAACCATGTCAGAGTCACGCGAACCATTTCCGAGCATATTTATTAATTGCGTGGTGACATCCATTTACACATCTCAAGACGAGGAGAAAAAGATTTGAGAGGCGTGGGTCAAAGTTTCGAGTATCAATCCGAGAAGCGTGCGAGAAGTTAAAGCAAATCAAGCATTAGGACCATGACCGAGCCCTTACCCGCATGCAGCACGCCCACACCCGCGCCACGCTCAAGTGCGCGCCCAGCCCGCGAGTTCCACACTTTGCGCCCGCGAAACGCTGGTGTTGCCCGCGAGTCCACCATTCTACTCCCTAGCCCGTGAGTTTCTTCGCTCGCGCCCGCGAAGAGCACGCCAGCCCGCGAGTGCCCTGGACCCCTGCCTTCAGTCTGCCCGCGAATTCTGTCAGTCTGTGCCCGCGAGTCATCAATACCTCGCGAGTCCTTGTGCGCCTCACCTTAGCCAGCGAAATCAGCTCGCAAAAATCAGGCTCCAACTCGCGAGCGAGTCCTAGCTCATGAGTGTTTTAATTTAATGTGTGTGTTTTAGTGTATGTATGAGGTGTAGCTATAAATAGACTTGATGTTTTGTAATTTGAGAATAATTCCTCATTTGCTAAAATTTTCCTTTTAGTTTTTCTCTCCTCTTTCTCTCTAGTTTTCTTTCTCTCTCTAAAGGGCTCTAAGACCCTATTTTTTTATTGTAATATTTCTCCATTAAGATTACAACTTTTCGGCTTATTTCTTCTCGTGGATGCACTAGAGACTTGGAGACTTCGTTTAAGGTCCAATCGGAGACTTAGTTGAAGGTCCTAGATCTCGTGAGTCTTGTCTTGTCTTTACTTATTGAATTCGTTCTAGGGTAAAGGTAGGAGCTTTCATGAGCCGATTATGCTATCATCCTCGTAGGCTAGGGATTATGTGATTGTGTTATTGATTGCGTTAGCTTAATTGCATGAGAGAGAGTTGATTGAGAGATCGATTGGTTGATCGCGAGTGACAATTGTTTGATTACATGTTCCCGAACCTATGAGTGCTTTCTTTCCATCTCGGGTCTTAGGGTACCTTGTTATTTTTCTCTCTATTTTCCTTTTTCGTGCAATTTGAGGACTTGCTTGCTTGCTTTAGTCTAGTTTAGAATTGTGATCTTTAACATAATTCAACCACCAAAATGCGAGTAGAATGTTTAGAACTCTTTATTTTCCTTTCGTGTGAGTCAATCGTTGCTTGAATCCGTGTCCGAATAGCCTTCCTTTGAGAACGACCCGAGTGCGGGTAGCTCGACACCTCATACCCACAAATCTCTACAAACATGCATGCAGCATATACATTGAACATATAATTTGCATCTTTAGAAAAGCCTCACTCATTATAACATCATTTGTTTTCATTTATGGCCTCGAACGCGTTTGCCTAATCTCGAAAGTCTGAAGTGCTACAACTAATAAAACATAACTGTTATATTATTGAAGACGAGATACCAATAATGTCGTCATATTACGAGGTGTATTCCTCATGCAAAAGGCAACCACTCATCTGTCAACTATTTTTCTTCCCGCATAAAAAATTAGTCTATCAATTATATTATTTTACATTTCATTTTTAGTTTAATTAGTAAGAATTAAATCACTTCATCAGTTCCGTAAGGAGTGCTTTTGTTTCTTTGTTTGTTTGGTTTTTTTGTTTTTGTTTTTGTCATTAACCTTTTTTTATCACAGGGTAGAATATTGCATGAGATTGCTGAGAGCATCTCCAATGTGGCATTTGACATTATAAAAATTTATCCATATCATCAACTTTTGAAAGTGTATTACTAGTTTATTCTCCAATGCATCTTGTCAAGAACTCTTTTATGATGAGGTGGATAGCATTTAATGTTGACAATGTTGAACACACTCTCTAATATCTAACATCATGTTAAACATGATGACCAATCAATTCACTTTGGGCGTGTTTGATAGGGGAGATTAGACAAGATTAAGCTCTTAATCATGGCCCAGTCCATCGTTTGGTTTCCATGTCTGAGGCCCGTAAGATTAGACACAGCCCGAGATTAAAACTACTTTATCTTGCGTATGGGGCATTATTTGATCTCGTTATGGACACGAGATTTTGTTAATCTCAACAGTATGTGTAATGTTAAAAGTCATTTTTCACCCTCCAAATGTTACAATTTGGACTAAAATAGCCTCTGCGTACAGAAAAATTACAACTTGTCCGATATAAAGACCCATCGTCCTCTTCTCCGCAAGACTGTCGAACAAGATCTGCGCGAGGGGTTGAAGTGCCGAAAGTCATTGCTTTCTTCTGCTTTCCCAGGGTACGTGTTTTTTGTTGTACAATACCTCTAAGACGACCAGGGGTCATGTATATTGTACTTGTTTTTTGCCTACCGTGTTCCCCTGTGTTTGACAATCGGTCGTTCGTAAAACCCTAAAATTTTTCAATTTATAGGCTGCAGTTTTATTACGAGCGCACTCCGATCGGTGATTTGCGAGGCACGGATTTTTTGTGATTCCTCTTACCGTCATCCTCCTTCATCACTGGTAATTGAAGCCCGTAACGATTATATTTTAAAATTCATTTCCCATTAATTCCTGGAGATTTCACCACTGTGGGGATTTTTGGATTACGTTTTTGGTATATTTGTAACTCAAAATGACTTTTCTATACATATGATGTTGTTGTTGATTGAACTGGTGAGATGTGATTATTTTGGGGATTGTTGTTATTATGCATCACGTATACATCTGTGGTCTTTGTTGGGCATCTTGTTTGTAAGATAAAATGAAGAAGTTGATATGTTATTTGATGAAAACTAAGAAATTACACATGAATAATATGTCTTAAAGGTCTCAGCAAAAAGTTTGATTGCTGTTATAATTTAGTTTTTAGAATCCAAGACTTGTGTAAAAAGTGTTTGCATATTCCTTCACCTCTTACATGGAGAAATACATATCTTTGTTTGCTCTCATCAGCTTAAGCATGGACATAGGTTCCGAAGAGGCGGTAGTACTGTTGCTTGTCGAAGAGATAATTAATCTTCGTAATTTGATTTTTATCATTGCGTACCTATACATTAAGTTGGTTGTTCAACCTAGACACCATCGTAGAGTTAGACGTCGGCTTGGAAATGCATCATATCGTATGTCGGACCGCCTACCCTCTCAAATTGCACACATGAAAGTCTTAGTAAAAATAAGTGACAGGACATGCATTGAACAACTTCGCATGGATCGAAATAGCTTTGTCCGGTTATGCTACTTGTTGGAACATATTGGCGGGCTCCAGAACACCAGAAATATAGAAATCACTGAGCAAGTGGCAATGTTTCTTAGTGTGCTAGCTCACCATAAGAAAAACCGTGTAGTGAAATTTGATTTTATAAGATCCGGTCAAACAATTAGCAAATTCTTCCACAATGTTTTACGTGCCGTCTTGCGTCTGCACCCCCTCCTCACGGTCGAACCTACTGCTGTAACCGAGTCATGCACCGATTGGAGATGGAGATGGTTTAAGGTGATGTCAACAATACCCGCTATTTTTGGATACGAATATTCTATTAGCATAACTTAAGTGTACAAGTTGTTTTTTTGTTGTGTATTTTCTCACAGGGATGCTTGGGAGCCTTAGATGGAACCTATATTCCAGTGCGTGTCCCTGAACGTCTACACGGACGATATCGAAACAGGAAAAATTTTGTTTCTGTGAATGTGCTTGGTGTGTGCACACAAGAAATGAATTTTTCGTATGTATTGACCGGTTGGGAAGGGTCAGCGGCTGACAGTAGGGTTTTACAAGACGCCGTTCACCGAGAAGGGGGCCTTCGTGTACCATCTGGTTAGTTTTAGATAGCATAATATAAAAATTTATAAATTATTTTTTGCTTCATTGCAACGAATATGTTAATAACAAATCTTAAAACTAATTTTCAATTAATTTATTTTTTCTGTTTCTCACATATAGTTCCCATACACAGGGAACTATTACCTCTGCGATGGCGGCTACACAAATGGTCCAGGTTTCTTGGCTCCTTATAGGGGTGTGTGGTATCATTTGGATGAGTTTGGTGAAGGTAATCGACTACCTACAAACCATAAGGAGCTGTTTAACTTGAGACATGCCAGAGCGCGAAATGTTATTGAGCGAGCTTTTGGAGTATTGAAGATGCGTTGGGCTGTCCTTAGAAGCAAGACTTATTTCGACATACGCACCCAAAATAAAATTATCCTTGCCTGTTGCCTCCTTCAGAACTTCATCCGGACTACCATGCATGTGGACCCAATGGAAAATGAGGGGGACACATTTTAATGAATCCGCAGCCAAACCCCGAGGCCCATGACCCCTTAGACTATGTCGACGTTGTTGAGCCAACCCTCGAATGGACAAATATGCGGGATGCTTTGGCTATGTCAATGTTTAATGAATGGGATGGCAGGAGTTAAAGAATGAAGCAACGAATGATGAAAAAAAGGAACTCAAGTTTTTTTATTGTAGTTTTAGAAAAACCCAAAATAAGACATTCATGTTGGAAGCAAATTTATGTGACTGATTGTTTCAAAATGTGTGATTTGTATCACTTAAGTTTTTCCTACTTCTTTGTGTGTTTTAAGATAATGGACAATTCTTTTTATCTTACTAATGTTGCTAATTTTTTTTTTATACTTTATTCTGATTTGGCTTGTTGATGGCAGAAATCTGACAATTCTTGTGCCTATCTTTTAGTTACTCATGGAATCCACTGCCAGTGGGGGACGCAATTCACAGGCTGTCGGACAACGTCGAGTATGGAATGAAGATGAGGAGCGTGCTTTGATTCAAGGCTTGCGCGATCTTGTTGCACGTGGCTGGAAATGCGACAACGGATTTCGCAATGGTTACACCACCATATTAGAACAACACATGCAACAGATGTTCCCGGGAACATCTATAAGAGCCGAACCTCACATCTCATCCAAGATCACTGTCTGGAAAAAAAATTATGGTTTGCTTTTGGGAATGCTTGGTACTTCTGGCTTCGAATGGAGTGAAACAGGGAACATGCTTACTGTGAAGAATGCTGACATTTGGAAAGCCTACGTGAAGGTTTGATTTACACATTTCATTTTCTTTTGATTTAATACTAAGCGTTTACGTAGTTTTGTTTATTTTCGTTGTTTTAGGCGCATCCAAAGGTCAAAGCAATGCGATATAAACCTTGGCCTCTTTTTCCGGATTGGGTAGAAATATTCGGAAAGGACCGGGCAACGGGAGAGGGGGCACTAGGTTTCACTAACGCGGTTAATGAGGTGTTACATGATACAAACGTCGAAGTACCGAGCCCTAACCCCACTCTTGACACAGGCCCAGAACATTTTGATTATACTCAAAATAACAATGACTCTTTTTCGGCTCAAGCAGGTGAGAGTAGTGCATCCGGCAAGTTTAAGCGTGATGGAAAAAGAAAGCGTAATGTTGAGGTGGAGGATAAAATATTGGGTCTACTGTCATCCGTTTGCCAAGAGACGAACAGCCGTCTTTCAGAACTTTCCACACGTGTCGGTCACGAAGTTGATGCAAAGGCGCAACGAATTGCCGTCTACGATGCACTCAAAAAAATTCCTAACTTATCAACTGATGAAAGGGTCGTTGTTGCTCGGTACTTATCCAAAAACGTTGACGAGATGGAACTGTTTTTCAGCCTCGACGATGATGGAAGGAGCTCGATGGTGCACCAAATATTGACCGGGTCACCGTAGTAAGAAAAACAAACAGGAATTTGTGTTTATCGTCGTCAACCTACCTTTTGTATTTTTCTAATGCCAACTTCATCGGTTTTAGTAAGTTATGTATGCGGATGTGAAGCTATGAGGTTGAACAATGCATATAGTAGCCATTTTGTTCCCATCCTTATACTTATTTACACGTTTGGTATGTGTATAAGTGTTAAGGTTGTTAATGCAATCCCTAGGATTCATGATTTTGCAATGAACTGTTTCATTGTTTTTTGCCTAGATTTTGGTTGGATGTATGCAATGTGGACCGACATTCTAATTCATCATGATGGGTGGAAGTACTTATTTTAAATCGAAACATATGGAATGGCTATGTGTTTCGAATACTTTCATTTGTAATGTTCTACGTGCGTAAAGACGTGTATGTACTGTGCATGTTTGTACAATTGTGGACATTGAATATGTTTGTGCAGCGGAATATGAGACATACTAGAAGTGAACTGTGGAACTGTGAAAGCGAGCCACGTTATTTGACTTAGCATAAAGGCATCTTTAATATTTCTCAATGGTATGCCACATGTTCATATAGCCTGCAGACAATAGAAAAATAACAATTGCCCATTCATTTCCATCAACATCACAGCTTCTTCAGTAATGTTCAACTAAGACAAATTCCCATTCTTGTCATTTCATTAGAATAACAACAAGCATTACGCTTACAAGAACCAATATGAGAAAGTAAATCATAAATCTTTTCAATTTTTTTTTTTTTTTATCACATCTTTGTGGCTTTCGCGATGCACTCCAACTTTGTTGCTAAGGCTAACGTCCTCTCTTACGCGCACTCCGTCTTCATTAATTGGATTAGCCCAACCAACAAACCCATGGCTATCACAAGCGTAATACAATTTCTGATAATTCGAAGTTCGGGAGCTAACAATCTTAACTGGAAGTTTGATTCGACAATGGTGACATATTTTTTCCTCATACTTGAGTGCACTTGGTCTTCCAAAATTTGAAGTGGTTGACGTCTGTGACATTTTGAACCTTTAAAACAGAAGAACAAACAAATTGGAATGTTATTATTCAACCGACAACGTCAACCCAAATATTTTAAAAAATAAATACAATCTTTCAGAGTAAATGTGTACAAGAGAACATTGATAAACTGTATACTAATTTAAGAACTACACTATTCGGATTACCTTCAGAAGAGCACAGACTTACGAGCATGCCATTTTTATCAATACCTAGTGCGCAGGTTTAGTAATGCACATAACATGTCACATTTTTAAAATTTTCACTTTACTAAAGGTAAACAAAACATAGAACCTGATTCAACAGTAAAACACAATGAAAGAGTGAATAATACAGGCTATTGCACTTACAAATTCAGACGGAGTCGGAGAGATATCAACAAACATACAATCGCCAAGTTACACAACTTAATTTCTCAGAGCAAGTCGAATCCCTAACAACAATTACATGTCTTCCCTTTTAATTTCGAACACTAAATTCGCATAATCTGTTGTGTTGGCAGAAAATCCGACAATTTGTTCACCTTCGGGAAATTGACAAGTGAGAACCAACAAAACAGATACCCCAATTAACATGAAAAACCCTATTCACAGTTAAATCAGAGAACCCTGAAGGCCAATATCACATTAAATAAGACTAATTTACCGAAGTTAATCATAATCGTGTACAAATGAACCCTAAAACCTTTTTACCTGTGTAGTCGAACAAACGAGAAAGGCGGGTTCTGAAAATCTGTACCTGTGAAATCGGCCGATGAAGTTTCTTCCACAGCACCTATTAGGTCGCTGGCACAATCCGTGGTATGTCGGTAGAATGGGGCCTTCGTATGTAGATGTAGTATCTTCAAATGTGGCGAAGAGTTTCTCTCTCCAGGTTTTCCAATTTGTAGACGTCGCTTAAATCGGCCAGTTGAACACCACGCAGGTTTCGTTTTTTGAATTTTGAAAGCTACAAAAATTGATGAGTAAATAAAGTGCACGTTTGGCCGTTTTTTTGCAATAAAAAAGCATTGAATTTGAAATGAAACTAGCCACGTAACTGCGAGTTACTAGTGGGTGAAGTCATGAAGAATTGCATATAAATATATATATATATATATATATAATATGTTAGTATATGCATTACTAATGTGCAAATTTTTATGTAACTCGGGTTCAAATTAAGCTTATTTTACTAATGTGCATATATATATATATATATATATAATATGTTAGTATATGCATTACTAATATGTATATAAGTACTTATTATAACCAAATCGATCAACGGATTTGTCACGATGGAGTAGTTTGGATCCGTTGACTAAACAACCAACAACGTACAATTAAAAAGGCCAAAATCCCGAAAAAAGAGAACATTAAAATTAATATCCGTGTCAATAATAAAAATAATAGCTACAATAATAACTTTAGTAATATTTTAATGTAGTAACAATAATAATAGTAATAATAAAATTGATAATAATGACGTAACATTAATAAATAATAATTATATAATAGTAATGCGAATAATACTTATAATAATAATAATTAAAATAATAATAATAATAATAATAATTAAAAAAATTAATCACTCCAGCCACTAAGTACAAGTCGGGTTTATAAGTCTGCGAAATATATACAAAGTTTAAAGTCCTAAATAAGAATAAAATGTATTCTAAATGAAGTATACTAATGTCCCAAATACTTTGGGAAAAAAATGTGCAAACCAACTAACCTGATTTTCATATGATATGTTTTAAAACAGTGAAAATCAAGGATTATCAACTATACACATTTACTGCGGGGAATAAATGAGATTACAATTCTCAAGCCAAAACAAGGCAAATGATAACTTCCCTTTAAATTGAGTTGATTGGTACCTACCGAAGTAAAAGGTGTAATGAAGTCCTGCAATGACCGTCACACGCTATATAATGACATGCTTTGTGCATGGCACTTCACCACCAACAAGAAACTTCACAAACACAGAAAGGTAGTATTTGGTTCATAACAAATTTTCTTTTGGTTTTTAAACGTCATGTACTATACAATTTTTTCCACCTATTAATACGTTTTTAACTATCTGGATTCAACCTAACAGGTCCTTGCATCAGTCTCATGGATCGAATGACGAGCCTGGAGAACATTGCGCGCGGCTTCCGGTTGGAGGGGTGGACCGAGCTCGAGGAGAAGGTTTGCTATCGCCTCTTTTTCCAGTTGTGTGCTGAAACAGATGACATCGACAAGGCTCCCGTCCTCAATTCCCTGTGTTTCGAAATATCCAGTTATCGGACCTCATGCAAAAGGAGTTCACGTGGATGAAGGTACAGGAGAAAATCCATTGTCTTCAAGGGCATTACCGTGAATTCCTTCGCTTCTTGACCATACCGGGAGTTCGAGTGCATGACGATGGCGGTTTGGTTAGCGTCAACAGAGAGTATTGGAATGTCGTCGGAGAGGTAATTATAATTTATTACCTTTTTATTTTTGTAATTTATTTCCCGCAGTGGACTGTATAAAGTTTTTATCGGCAAAACAAAATTTTACCAAAACAAAATTGAACATAATCTGCAGGAGTCCAATATGGAAGTGTTTTTTTGCTGGAATGGCTTCAAATGGTACAACCATTGTGTGCAGCTGTGGAACATACGCGGGGCAGCCGAAGTGAACGTCCAAGCTAACCCCGGTGCGAATAATGAGAATCCGATTTGTCTAGATGATACTATCACATACGTGGTCTTGTCGGAAGATGAAATGGAGGATGATCTTGATGACTATGATGAGGTTGATCAGCATGTTGGAAGCCCAATCCATGATCTGCCACTTCCTATGGATCCCCTGTTCAACGTTGACGGCAATGAGGATTTGATGGATGAGGAGTCTGATGTGGACTCCTGCGTCGACTCCGTGTGAAGACAAAAACTGTTCGGGACGGCCTTACAACTCTTTTTGGTATTTCGGTCCCGACCATATAATTATGATTTTTAACCTTATTAAGTATGTATTTTGCATATGGAAGTACTGTGCGTATTTAAAATATGGAAGTACTGGGAATCCTCACATGTGTATGTGTATTGACTGAACCTTCCGATGAAGCGTCACGGTCTCGGCCATTTCTTGGCTGAATACCTTCGTTTTCGATTGAACCATGCAATGGTGCATTGGTGAGAGAAGAAAGCGAGAAGACGTAGGACTGTTCGGTCAACCTCGCTAAATGATTTTCGTTGGTGGAATTTTGGTCCAACACATTCGGGGAATTGGATGTGGCTTCATAGACCTCTGTGAACAAGTATCGTATGTCCGCCCAACGCGGGTCTCCCGAATGTTGGTATGCCAACGAGAATGGGTCTGACTACATAAAAAAAATTTATGCATTGTCAGACAATAATAAGTAACGCCAACATCAACTACTAACATTCACAAGAAACATTGTTCAAAGAAATGCCAATTTTGTTGGTAATGGAACACAACACAAAATACGACCTGAATTGGCAAGCAGAGAAAATACATGCGTCCGCATCAAATTTTACATAAATATTGGTAATCAGAGAAGAGTTTAAAACCCAAAAAAGGTAAGAGGACATCTTAATTTCTCTTCATCATTTACCAACAGAAATTAAGACCCATCTGAGAATTAAGTACAAGTGTAAAGTTTCAAAACTCAAACACATAGGAGTAACGTCGGTGCTATGGTAAATGGTAAGGGAATACCTCGAAGATATCATTCCACACTGCTACCGGAGCCGTGAGGACGTTTGACTGGATACAGTGGCGCAGCCCATGTTTTCGTAACATCCAACTAAAAACGCGGAACCGTTTGTGAAGGAAATCGAACCGTTCCTGTAGTTCATTCACAGTAAAGGTTGCACCGACGTCTGCAACCAAAACACCACGGCAGTAAAGGAAGACATGAGTGCCTGGCCTACCTTGTGTCCATTCACCACCAACATGTGCCTCGGCGAGGAGGTCTATAAAGAGGTTGTCCACATCTTTCGTCCACCGAGCATCGTAAAGAACCTCCTCCTGTGTGGCATCCATTCCCAAACGTGGCATTACAATGGTATTCAGTGAGAATCGAGGAACTGTTAACAATATCCTATTTTATGGACGCCACTTGTGTATATGAAAAAAAGGCCCGTTTGAGTGTCTTTATATAGACAGGAGAACAGGAGAAGAAAGAGGAGGCTACTTGTACAAAAAATAAACACAACCCACTATATTATGACTTGTCAATACCTGGCAAAGCTTAAAAGGAGATTCAATACACCATTTGTAAACCATTTGTCTTGTCATTATATCTGCCAAATTGGATCCTAATTCATTATCGAATCTTCAGGAAATTGACAACAACACAGAAGATTGAAAACTTCATAACAGAGAATATGGTGATACATTTTTTGAACACAAGCACATGGGTGAGAATATATTCCCCTGTTGATTGGACACAACAAAACCGTAACGATGGCTCACCGGAATAATGGCCGAAGTTTTCAGATGCAAGCCACACCAAGGCATTATCGCGACAGAATTCATCAATTGCTTTATTAATGCCCGACGGTAATATTTCGTCCCTGCAACCGGCGATTGATTAGGGTAAATTTTGGGGGAAAAAAACAGAACGATGGATGTTGTTTTCGGGTCCTACGTTTTTTGGGAATGTTTCACAATTTAATTTAGATATATAATATAAAGGCTAAATCAGTAATTTAGTTTTTTATCCTGACAATTATCTCGCGCCTCAAACATAAATGGGAACTTTGTCCAACCAGTCACTTTCACGCAATCATGGACATCAAATTAGAGATTAAAAACATCCTAACAGTGTAATCATGGCCTTTAAGATTAATATTGTCTAATCTCATCTTGTTTATCAAACATAGCCTTTATATTTAATTTAATTTTTTATTGTTCTTGTATTAATGATTATTTTAATTGGTCCACCTATACAAATAACTTTTTATCAAATTGATGCATTGGAGATACTAGTTTGATTCAAATTTCTACTCTTTTAACCTTATTCCTACATGGATTAACATTACAATCATTGATTGACATGTGTTAAAAAATCATTGTCTTTGAAAGCTATAACATTGGAGATGCTCTGAGTTGCAATACCCTCGTGTAATATTGTAGTGGAAAATACAATATGAAGACAATTGTGTGCGAAATGCATGGGCACCGAGGCCGCCAGGATGCTCCAATAGATACAAAACAATAAAATATTAAAATAATAACAACATATTAGAGTACTAAACAAAATTAATGATGAATATTCCTAATCATATGTTTAGCTTATTTCTTGTAAAAGTTTTTTGTCCTCTTCTTCTTGTAAGTAGTGAGCTCGTCCTTGAGCTGAGTTGTGTCTGCATGTGTCTGTTTCCACGTGGCATGTAGTGGTTGGCTTGTAGCCCAGGGTTCTAGGATAGTAATTGCAACTATATTTACCTGCTCTAAGATCTAAAGATATATCGTTATCATCTTCATGATTTTTTGGTGTTTGGATGCTCGCTAATTGTGACCTTGCTATTTCCATCATGGTATCAGAGCTCGGGTTCTTAACCTGAGCCTAATTTACCACAAACATCTCTTTCCTTTATTGCCTTTATCCTTTAGCTCCTACTCTAATAAAAAATGACAAATTTTTCATCAAGTCAAACAAATACTCACCCTTTACTTTTAGCCACTCAAAATAGTCTTATCCAACCTCATCATCAACTAGTGTCAATCAAGCTTACTCATGGCAACTATTTGCTATGGAAACAACATGCCTTTACTGCCATCAAAGGTTATGGCTTGGAGAACATTGTCTCCAAAGAAAGCTCAGCTCCACCACAAACCACCATCTCATAAGGCACTTCTTAGATCCAAGTAAATCCAGACTATATGGCTTAGGTCAGGCAGGATCAACTTCTTGCTTCATGGCTGCTCTCACCACTTTCTGAAAAATCTCCTTGTGATGATGGTTGGAAAGAACACTGCACAAGAGACTTGGCAGGCTCTAGAGTCCAACTTCTCAGGACAGTCCAAGGCCAGGCTTATGAAACATAAACTTCAGTTGCAAACCTTAAAAAAGGGCAACCTTCCCATGAGAGACTTCATTGGACAAATCAAAGCTTGTTGTGGGACTGCAGTTAATGAACAAAACCATATCTTGCACATCTGGTGAGCAACAACTTCACCAACAATCAAAACAAAACCTTTGGAAACCAATCTAAAGAAAGAGGTAACATGTCTGCCCAAAGAGGTAGATGAAGGGGTAATTTCAAAGGTAGAGGTGGAAGAGGCTTCAGGAACAATTCAAGGGTGTCTTGTCAAGTATGTGGATTGTCTAACCATACAGGTAATAAATGTTATCACATGTTTGATGTCTCATATCCAGGACCAACCAATATGCAAGCTCATATTGCCACTACCCAACCTTTCAATCAGACTTTCAATGGTGGACCTCTTCAGCACATTGGCAATAGTGATGTTGGATCTGAAGTAGGCTTGTTTGTAGACTCAGGAGCCTTGATCCATGTCACTAATGAGCTCTATAATCTCAACCTGGCCTTAGAATTTCATGGCTACAACAAGCTACAAGTTGGTAATGTCACATGTTTGCTTATTCACATATAATCATATGTCACTCTAAACTTTTTTTACTTAAAAATCTTCTTCATGTTCCCTCAATCACGAAGAACTTGATCAGTGTGTCTCAGTTTGCTATAGATAACTCAGTGTATTTTGAATTTCATCCCAAGTGTTGTCTTGTGAAGGATCTGGAAACTCATCAAGTGCTTCTCAAAGGATCACTTAAGGATGAACTTTACATGTTTGATGCCCAAAGTTCCAAGTTTATCACCTCACCAACAAACTCTCCTTGCTTTCAGTTTAGACCATGCACCTTCCTGGTCATCTGTAATAAAACTTCAAGTCTAAAACTATGGCATTCAAGACTAGGCCATGCAACTCATGATGCAGTAGCTAAAGTTATGAAAAGTTGTAATGTGTACTTTGATATCAATGAAAAAAATTTTTGTTCTTCTTGTCTTCAAGCCAAGAGCCATGCTTTACCTTACACTGCATTAGAAACTCAATATAACAATCCTCTACAACTTATACACTCTTGACTTGTGGGGACTTTTCCCTATAACCTCTAAATCTGGTTCTCAATATTATCTTTGTGTTATTGACCATTGCACTTGGTTCACATGGATATATTTTTTCAAACAGAAATCTGAACTTTACAATGTGTTCATTCACTTAATTCAAAAATCTTGTCGACAATCAGTTTAATCACAAAATCAAAGATGTCCAAAGTAATTGGGGTGATAAATATAGACCTCTTACAAAACTTTTTCATGAAGCTGATATTCAACACAATCATTCCTGCCAGTCTACACCATCACAAAACGGCCTTGCTTAGAGAAAGGCATAGGGCAATAGTTGAAATTGGTCTATCTCTTCTAACTGATTCCCATGTTCCATTGCATTTTTTGGAATGATGCCTTTCAAACTGCAGTTTTTCTTTTAAACAGACTTCATGTCAAGAGTTTTCACTTCATCTCACCTCTCCAAAAGCTTTATGGTCACAAACCCAATTGTAACAACCTCAAAGTGTTTGGATGTCTTGGTTTCCCAACCTCAGACCTTGCAACAAACACAAAATATTGGAACCTCGATCACTTTCAAGTACCTTCTTAGGCTATAGCTCAAAGCATGAAGGCTAAGATCCATCTTTCAAGTGGCAAACTTATCATCACCAGGGATATAGTGTTTGATGAACACACCTTTCCTTTCGCGAAACCTATATCGCAAGATCATCCTACACCCACCACTGATTCTCATATGTCTAGTCTACTTATCTTGTTTTTCCCATCTCCTATTCCATCCAATGTGTCACTTGCACCACCTCCTGATCCTCCTTCCAT